TGTGTGTGTGTGTGTGTGTGTGTGTGTGTGTGTGTGCGCGCGTGCGTGTGTGTGTGTGCGCGCGCGTGTGTGTTCTTTTAATGTCTCACTGCGTGTCTGTTTTGTTCTCTGTGCTGCGACCTTTACCCGTGACCTGATGAGATCGTTGAACCGTTTGCCTATCTCTCTCTCTATCCTACGTCCCATTAAAGTATTTACTTTCTCTTCCGGCATTTCCCCGTTTTATCTATCTCTCGCGCTTCTCCCACCTTCCCCTCGGATAACTTCAAACGGATCATGGCCAGACGCTACAGCATCAACAACAACGGAATCTGACCCTGTACCGTCACACTGATGGCTCATTCAGCACGACATGGACATAAACATCATTTGTCATGTCTTTTTTTTTTTTTAAAGTAAGAGTTTTACGGCACTTGCAACACAATAAGGTCATATAAGTGCCGGAGATTAGAGGTGTTACAAAGAGAGTAACAAACACAAAAAGAAGGAGGGGGAGATAAAGACGATAGATGTTTGATGAGAAAGAAGATGCAGTCAACTCTTCAGTCGTATTTATTTACATATTCATAATACATGTACGTCATTGTGCATACTATGCTTTTATGTATGTGTGTATAATATTGTATCAGTTTGTAACCCACATCCCTGACTGAAGGCACACGGTATAGTTATCTAAAGAGACAGTTCAACTTTTCAAACGATGATCTCATCACTTCACAAGGAAGCTTCCTCCAGTCTGCAGTTATCTTTAAAGAAGGATATATTATCTTGTTGCTATTTAATAAACAAACAAACAAACAAACAAATTGACAAGCACACTGTTTTTTTTGTGTTGCTAGTGCCGTAACATTTTTACCAAAAGAAAAATAAATTTTATTTTATGTACCTTGGACACTTGACATACAAATAAAAGCGAACCAACAAACCAACCAACAAACAAACATACAAACAAACAGACTATTGTACTCACTGTGCCCATCTGTTAAAGTCGTGCCTAGACCCCCTCACATGGAGCATACCGTTGACAAACAAACCAACAAACAAGCAAACAAACAAACAGACTGGTGTACTTACTGTGCCCATCTGTCAAAGTCGTGTCTAGACCCCCTCACATGGAGCATACCGTTGACAAACAAAC